TTATTCTGAGATGGTCCTTCTCACCAGGAAAAGAAGTTTATCGGGCTTAAAACCTCCCGAAATCTTCAAAAGCAAACTAAACTTCTCTGAAGAGGTGAAATACCTTGGTAGGTAGGTTGGTACCTTGGTACTATCCTCTACAGGAAGCTAACATGGAACTCTCTCCTACAGAGTAGAGCAAAAAGAGCATATGTGGCTTGTGAGCAATGTCGGAGGACAGTGGGACGTGCATGGGGTCTATCATCCCGTGTGGTCACCTGGATCTACACTGCAATAATAAGACCTATGTTAACGTACGGAACCATTGCATGGGGACCGAAAGTTCTACAAGCAACGGCCATCCAAAAATTATATCAAATACAGCGACTGGCTTGTTTAAACATCACAGGAACCATGAGAACAACACCAACCGCGTCTGACTCCTCTGGACTTGAAACGTTAAGGAGGTTGCGTTAATGGCCATGGTACGATTGCGCACGGCTGGTGTAAACCTCGAAGTAGGAATGGACCAATTGAGGCCAAGCCTTTGGCGAGAAGCGCTTACTGCGCAACCTCTGCTGGAGGCAACTAGTGCTGCAATTGAACCAAGGTTTGTGTTTAATAATCCCTACAAAATACAAATAAAACAGAACACAGAGTCAGATGCTACAAATGCAATACGCATATATACAGACTGCTCGAAAAGCATAGATGGCTCAGGATGTGGAGTGTACTCCAGATCACTAGGTCTAAGGATTAAGTGGGAAATGGGAAAAATACCAGCGTGGTCCAAACAGAACTGGCTGGTATCTCAATCGCCACAAAAGAACTATCCAGGAAAGGAATTTCTGGCAAAAACATAACCATCTGCACTGACAGCCCTATTAGCTTCGAAAAGACGACGTGTAACCTCAGGGCTAGTACTACAGTATCACCAATATTTAGCCAAAGACGACAGGAGTAAAGGTTATCGCTTTGCCGACAAAGAAGCGGCTGGACTAAGAATTTTAGGACCCAGTGGCACTTACAGCCTGATGACTTCGACAATTGCGAAACTAGCCAAATGTTACACCCATGCTCAATCCCTAAAGAGATGGAATGGAATCAAAGGATGCAATCCCAGGTTAGGTTAGGTTAGGTTGGGTTAGGATCACCTTGGGCGACCCTGGGAAGTTGGCGCCGAAGAATTATCTGGCGATGACCAGGAAAAATCTACGCTTAACAGTAGGATTTCTGACTGGCCACTGTCAACTAAGGAATCACCTCCATAATATGGGGCTAGCCACACCTCTATGCAGGATGTGTGAACAGGAAGATGAGACTATCAGGCATGTCCTATGCGAGTTCCTGGAGCTATCGTCAAAAAGGGAGTGTGTGATCGACGAGTCTTGGCCTACACCTGTCGATATAAAGGCGAGATTTCTCCCAGTGACCTGTCCACCTTCCTGGAAAGGACAGGATGGACGATGACCTAGGAGGATAACTCCTCGGGAGAATGTACATTGGGTCACATGTGGGCTAAGTGCTGTGTGCTTACAGTCCCCCTTCCTACTCTACAGATACAGAGATACGGTTAGAACGCCTTAGTGCAGGTATTTGTGCCTTACTTTCATCCGGATGTCTCTTTAAATTAACCTGTACTCGGGTTACATCAAGTAATATCTTTTGTGAAGGAGACGATAGGAGAGACAGTTTTTTTGAACACTTATTGGGGCATTCTGAGATTCGCCTTTCATGAACCCAATCAATGCACAAAAATGATTTCTGCAATCATTTTCACAATCTCAAAAAGATATTTTGAATTGGGTCGGCACATGCCTATGAGAATTTTGATTTCAGCAGAAAATTCTGTAATGCAGATATAAAGTAAATCCTCGGACAAGTGGGGTTCTCACAGTGACGTCATAGTACGTGGGTGGTCCAAGAAGTACCAGGCCCAACAAAGAAAACACGTTGACGAAACGCAAGATTTGCCGAAAACATCGCCGCTGTCTGTGAGAGTGTGCAGGAGAATCCGAGGCAGTCGATTTCGCGTTGCTCACGAAAACTCGGCCTCGTGGTTTTTCACCGGTACAAAACCAAACTGTCCTAGGAACTAAAGGAAACGACTATGTACAACGACGTATGTTCGCTGAATGGGCTTTGGAGCAGTTATCAACTGACCCTACTCCTCAGGGATGAAGCCCATTTCTGGATGAATTTTCATGGAAAATTTGACGTTTCGAAGAAGAGAAGGAAAGCCGTGACGGACATTTGAAAGATGTTCCGCACATGAGTTATAAATCGGCCTTTCAAACGAATAAAAAATTTCGATGATATCTCACACACATTGTTTTATTTAAATTGAAAAATAGGAGGCGAGTGAAGAGTATTCAATTTGACATGAAAACTACTCGTTGAACTGCTGGGCTCTGGAAAGAGACGAACCTGTTACACCTACGGGTAACAATTAGAGGTCTTCAACTGATTAATCGGCGTATTCAGCGACTGTTTATACGCGATTCAAATTCATTACGCTCTAGTGCTTGATTCAATTACATTGTAATCGACGAAGTGCTTGTCCTCTTTCAACGCACAATTGACGATGATTTGTTGTGATATTCGCGCTGTTTTTAGACTCTATTTTCGGTGAATTTTTGTGACATATTGCCCTCTATATGTTTTCGTTAAAAATAAAGGTAACACGTCAATTTCGACGGGGGCTTTCCTCGCGAATCCGGTTATAAATAACCATCTTCAATCATACCTGTTGTTTTTGGGAGACACATTACAATGTGTGTCAAGTAATTATAGCTTCAGCAATACTTCACGTATGCCAATAGACATTCCGCGGTGTCGGTTCAAAAACAAATTCGCCTCTCGCGGTGCACCTCAACAAATCATGAGACGAGCTTGAATTCATTTGGACAACATTTCTATAGTGCTACCTGCAGGATAGAAACTTGGAATTTTGTGTTTATTTATTTCTGGGGAATGTTACATTCGAAAATAAACGTGCATATATGTAGGCCGTTAATATGTGGCGCAGTCGGTAGGATCTCGATATTTTCAGATTGTGCATGATACAGTTTGAAGTTTTCGAAGCTTCTGTTGGGAGCTGTAATTCTCCTCAGTAGAAGACGGGAAATTTAAGTTTTGAGGGGCTATCATACAGGGTGCAAAAAGAATAAAATCACACACTGAAAGATTCAATTATAGTTTTAAATGAAGCTTAGTTATATATGCATCATTCTGCTTTCAATTTTGGCTTCAGTTCTTGCCTTGAAGTCGATTCTATGAATGAGATTTTTTCACTTCATCTTTCATTTCGTTTTTTTAATTCGAGTTTTTTTTATATTTCAATTTTGTTGATCAACAATTTTGTTAAACAGCAGATAATTCTCTGACTGAGAACTTCAATAAAAATTGAAATTGTAAGAAACTTTTCATAGATGTTACCTACTGTGCCAATTGCTTCGTATAAATAATAGACTAATAACGAAAGCATGCAAAGTTAAAGAACTGGAGAAGATAAGGATCAGTCATGTTGATGGTATGGTGTCTTCATGGAGACAGTATGCTAAAGAGGCGAAAATTTTCTCAAACATTTAAATGAAACACATTTTTATAGCTGCTATTCTATCTATGAGTTAGAGTGGTTAAGAAACATTATTATCTACATTCAATCTCTATTGAGCTGAGTTTAGTGAAACACGTAACACGTGTTTCACTAAACAGTTACTGCCTGAAGAAGTTATTGTATAATAAAACACGTATGGCGGTTCTGTAAACTGTTCAGTGAAAATCTCAATAAAATATACGGTCTGTATGCATAAGTGAATTTTGTCTGATTGATCAGTTTTATTTGACCTGTCCTATGTAGGCATTTACAGTTGTCCTACGTGGATATTTTCAGATGTCCTTTATGGGCATTTATACTTGACATGTTGTCTGTATTTACAATTGTCTAGAGTGGACACTTACAGTAGTCTTGTTTGGGCATTTACAGTTGTTCAGTGGAGGCTTTAACAATTGTCCTGTATGGGCATTTACAGTTGTCCCGTATGGTCATTTACATTTGTCCCGTATGGTCATTTACATTTGTCCCGTAAGGGCACTTATCCTGTGATGGCATTTACAGGTGTTTTATATGGTCATTACCCCTACCTGTTTTCCTTTATGGATATTTACAATTGTCCAGTGTGGGTATTTACAATAGTCCTGTGTGGGCATTGACAGTTCTTCAGTCAGGGCATTTACAGTTGTCCTGTGCGGACATTTACATTTTTCTCGTATGGGCACTTACAATTGTCCTGTGTGGGCATTGTTATTTGTTCCGTATGGATATTTACAATGGTCCTGTATGGACTGTATGGACATTTACAATTGTCTTGTGCAGGCATTTACATTTGTCCCGTATGGGCATTTGCATTTGTCCTATATGGGTAGTAACAATTATCCTGTGGGGACATTAACACCCAGCCTGTTTTCCTATATGTATTTTAACAATTGTGCAGTCTAGATATTTACAGTAGTGCTGCTGGGACATTAACATTTCAGTGAGGCCTTTTATATTGGTCCTGTGCGGGCATTAACATTTGTACCGTATGGACATTCACAGTTGTCCTGTGTGGACATTTACAATTATCCAGTATCAATGTAGGGATTTATAGCTGTTCTGTATTGACATCGACGGCAGTTGTTTATGCTTATTTTGAGTTGTTGTGTTTGAGTTGTAGTTTGTAATCACTTCTGGCGTAAACGGAATGCATGTCATCATAAAAATACGTTTAATAGCACATGATTTACTGTTAACTGAGAACTCCCTATCATCTACATTTGAATACCTTGGTAGAAATTTTTTTTTTGCGGTTATATCATCGGCATAGGCATAATATCACCGAACCGAATCAACACAAACATTGTTTATTGTTTCACTTTCTTATATAGATAATATTAATCGTCTAGTAATAACTGATAAGGTGCGAAAATAAAGGAATTATCTGAACGAGAATAACCGCAACGTTTTGACGTTCGTTTCATTTCGCAACATCAACATACGCGTGCTGAATACAGCTATTATTAACGATCTGCTGATTGTTTGTGTATTCTCTTCTCTCGAGGATTGTTAAGAAACTGACAAGGTAGGCTAGTTTGATGTTTCTTTACTGTTTCTCCGATGCGAGGTATTTGCGAAACGTCAGGCCAGAACAGCAGATGAATAATAATCTGTACACTGTTTTTGAAATAAATACTGAGATGGGTGGAAAAGCTTTTACTTGGATAGTTTTTCTCGTCTTTTGGGCACAATGCAATTTTTGTATTTTTACCTTGCTTTTTTTTTATTTCCAAGGCTTAGAAATGACAAAAGTTTGTCAATGTCAAGACTCACAATCTTCAATGTGATAATTGTAGCGTCCATTTCAAATTGTTTTACAGTTTTTTTTTTCAAACCTGATATTTTGGAAATGTACAGAAAGGACTGTGAACAAAAAAATCTAATCGATACTGAATTTTTTTTAAATCCTGAGATTGCTTTTATTGTTTATGCATATCTTTTTTTGTATAGATTTCACGCTCTTGAAAGATTATTTCGGCAAACAATGTGAATCAAAACATTTGGACGAACTGCACTAGGCACTCTTCTGAGAGTGCCTAGAAGATGAGATGATAAAAAAAACACCAATAGGTGTTTCCACTTATGTTTCGCTTGCGTTTACGCAGCTATTTTTATCAAGTACTTTCTTGTCAGGTTAGCTTCCCAAATTTCTGCTACCGCAGTTGTCGGTTGATTGGTCAAACCACCAACACTGACACNCAATACGAACTGCCAAGTCTACATACAGTCTACGTGGACTAGTTCTCTGCCGGTTCATTTCTATGTATTGGTTTTTTGGCCTTTGAAAGTACCGCCAACTTTAAGAATACACAATATCGTTTACTTCCACTATACCCTTTACGTTGCAATGTTGCTTTATCATTTTTTTTGAGAAAAAGTATTCGATTATGAACAGTTGAATTCATTGATTTTTTTGGCATAATTTTGCATTATCTTGATTTGCCGTCTCCTATTTTAGTTGATGTCAACCAGTATTTCATTAAATGTGTTGATTGGACAAGCACCAATCACTACTGAAGGATGGCATGAATAGGAAAGTTAAGAGTTACAAACGCAGTAAGTAGAGTTTCCATATCAAATAACTGTTCAACATAAGTCTATTCGAAATGTCTCTACTGATATATGGATATGACAAATATACGATTCCTCTAGAATCAAATTCAATCCATCGTAAACAATCATCAGTATAGTATAAGGAAATATAAAAACCATTGTCAGAAAACAAAATATCTTTTCAATATTATACGCATAATTCTGTTTCGCAGTGTTTGTATCCTTGTAGATAGAAAACAAGTCTAAAAGATTAATTAACAAATTTTCAGCAATAAAACTAAAAAAAACCTAAATTGTGAACCGAGTTTCTCAACAATGAAGTTAAATAAACTTACTTAAATCGCAAATACAACTTGACTGTACCGTAACTGGAAGCCGTATAGACGTGCGCCAGGTCGATCATCAACCGAAACTACTACAAATCGAAAACGGTATTTTCAAAACGCCTAATGGAAACGTAAATTCGTCATCTGCGCCTCATGAGTCACAGCCCAAAAAAAAAACCAACAAACTCAACATAAATCTAGCACAGAACTAGTCAAATGTGGCTAAATTATGGCAGTTGTAAATCCCAACTTTTGAGTTGGTGCTAAGAAGCCTTTCCTGAAATGAAATAGTCATTCTAAATATTCCACCTCTGAAAACAGAGCATTTTTTTCAATATGTTAGTTCATATAGTTGGGACCAGGAGGGTCAACAATAATAATAGTTGAATTCACCGGTCTGTTCATTAGGCTAGCATAATTTCTTGCAGTCGTGTTTACCTCAGATATATTGTAATGAGATGTCAGAGTCGAAATCTATCTAAACGACCTATTTTACTCTTATCGAGATACCTCGAAGGCCAACTTGTACTTTAATGATGGGCTATTTATCGCATGTCATTCTTGATTTACGCCGTTGTTACTGTGTCATATCGCATCTTTCCTGTTACTATGGATGTCACGACCGTAGTTCATTAAGAGTTTCTCTTTATAGCGGGAAAAAATGTCGATTGACTCTTCCCACAAATGTAAAAATACCGGGTCGAAAGTCTTTAGGCGTCGTCGTCGACGAAAAACGGCAGATGTTATGGCGTCCCGACGCCGAATATATAAACTGTGCCGCTAAACTTCGTGAACTTTACGGAAAGATACTTTTCACATGTTTGCTCGTCATCGGTGTTGTATTAATGAGCCCAAACTCACAATTTGTTTGAATTATAGTGAAATTCTTCGTGTTTATTGGGAGCGCTAGGAAAGCTAGGTTTCGGGAAAACAAGTATAAATCAGAAGCGGTTCGGAAAGATTTTCTAATGTCGTCTATTTCTGAAGTTACAAAGGAATCCTGGAATTATTGCGACATCACCAAAGATTTTTGTTTCTGCTGCGTGTATTATTTTTATAAATCGTCCAAGTCGATCTGCAAAAATGATGAAAGTTTTTTATTTGTTTTTTTTTGGGAAAGAATTCCTTTTAGAAAGTTACCCACAATTGCATGGGCATTCACAGTAGTCCTGTGCGGGCATTTACATTTGTCCCGTATGGCCATTTACATTTCTCCCGTATGGCCATTCACATTTGTCCCTTAAGGGCACTTACAATTATCCCGTTATGGCATTTACAGTAGCCTTATGCGGTCATTTACACATACCTGTTGTCCTTTATGGATTTTTACGATTGTACAGTGTAGACATTTACAGTAGTCCTGTGTGAGCATCAACAGTTCTTCAGTGAGAGCATTTTCAGTTGCCTTGTGCGGGCATTTATATTTGTCCCGTATGGGCATTTACATTTGTCCCGTATGGCCATTTACATTTGTCCCTTAGGGCCATTTACATTTGTCCCGTATGGTCATTTACATTTGTCCCGTAAGGGCACTAACAGTTATCCTGTGATGGCATTTACAGTTACCTTTTGTGGTCATTTACACCTACCTGTTGTCCTTTATGGATTTTTACGATTGTACAGTGTAGACATTTACAGTAGTCCTGTGTGGGCATCAACAGTTCTTCAGTGAGAGCATTTTCATTTGTCCTGTGCGGGCATTTATATTTGTCCTTTATTGATATTAACGATTGTACAGTGTAGACATTTACAGTAGTTCTGCTTGGGCATTGACTGTTCTTCAGTGAGGGCATTTACAGTTATCCTGTGCGAGCATTTATATTTGTTCCGTATGGGCATTTACATTTGTTCCATAAGGACACTTCCGATTATCCTGTGATGGCATTTACAATAGCCTTATGCGGTCATTTACACCTACCTGTTGTCCTTTATGGATTTTTACGATTGTACAGTGTAGACATTTACAGTAGTCCTGTGTGGGCATCAACAGTTCTTCAGTGAGAGCATTTTCAGTTGTCCTGTGCGGGCATTTATATTTGTCCCGTATGGGCATTTACATTTGTCCCGTATGGCCATTTACATTTGTCCCGTAAGGGCACTTACAATTATCCTGTGATGGCATTTACAGTTGCCTCATGTGGTCATTTACACCTACCTGTTGTCCTTTATTGATATTAACGATTGTACAGTTTAGACATTTACAGTAGTCCTGCTTGGGTATTAACAGTTCTTCAGTGAGGGCATTTACTGTTGTCCTGTGCGAGCATTTATATTTGTCCCGTATGGGCATTTACATTTGTCCCATAAGGACACTTACGATTATCCTGTGATGGCATTTACAGTTGTTTTATCTGGTCATTTACACCTACCTGTTGTCCTTTATGGATATTTACGATTGTACAGTTTAGCTATTTACAGTTGTCCTGTGCGGGCATTTATATTTCTATTTCTGAAATTACACTTTGATCAATCATACCATGATAAGCAGCTGATTTTCCACTACTTGATTTCAAGAACTTATTTATTTCAGAAGGGATGAAGTGTTTATACATATTTTCTCAAATTCCATTTAACTGGCCGTGGTAGTAGACGGAATTGCTAATAACGTTCCCTTTATTCACGCCGGTAACCAGGTCGGGATGGTTCGGATAACCGCGTAAAGAGAGCTATGTGTGTTTGAAAATCTGACTGTCTCCCGAGGAGGAGACAGTAAAAAAGGTGTGTGTTTTGAAGAAAAAAGGTGGCAGCATTGCTTTGGGCAAAACCATGCGCCCCTCGACGACAAGCTCATGTCGATCATTGACAGGAGACTGGCCAAACACGCCCGAATGGGCAGTACCGCCATTGAAAATAGAGAGAGATACCTTTTTTCACGGGCAAATGAAGAGATTATCAGTGTTTTCGTCTTTACGGAAGTTAATTGATTACTAACCATATGTTGCTTCACTTAAAAATAGTAGAGGAAGTTTGTTGAAAATTGTTAAACCACTGTTTACACATATTTGAATTCTGCTAAAAGATTAAATACTATAAGATATACAAATCTCCTATAATATATATTGCCAGAATACGATTTGAAAATATAAATATGTTTTTAAGTATACAAGGAGGATACGTTTTTGGACCCAATGTACAGGGTGACAATTTGAAAACTTGCAATGGCTATATCTAAGCAACCAGATGAAATAAAAGAAATCGCTAAAAAAAAACTTCCTTAATAGGAAGGGGGGAACAAGATGATGTAGCAACCCCCTGCTTGTGATACTTTATCTTAAAGCTCTTAAAAAATGATCTTCAATGGTACCCTCTGAAGCTACATTCGATGTAGTAGTTTTTGGTTTATTAAATAAACCACTATTCATTTCAAATGAAACATTTTCACGACACACTTTTTAAAATGTCTACTGAACAACGCAGCGTCTTCAAACTCGAAACAAATACCGTGATATTTTTCGAACTACCGTCATTCCTAGGTCAGTACTTCTGGGACCATCCTGATACGTACGTTATTCAAACATTCGATTTACTCATGTCCAGTGAAAATAAGCAACCCCATTATTTGTATGACTTGCATCTGTCGTCAACCGATTGTGAAGAGTAAACAAATTATCGAAGAGAGTGCACTCGCTCTCAAGAAAACAGCCTGTGCAGAAACTGTTTATAATCCACGTCTTTTCGTCACTATATTGTAATGCACGTGTTTCTCAACGCAATAATTGCACTTCGATTTTCGCGCTAAGTGCTGCTGATTCAATCGTCGAAGCACTGAAATTAGGATAAATTATCGTTTCTCAAGTGGTTCGCGATGTTCTTAATGAACATTGAGAGACGAAATTACTTCTTCTGAATTCTTTTCATTGGTAACTTTTTGGTTAGAAAAATTCAGAAACGATAGATACAGATTTAACTGTCGCAGATCTGAATGAATCCTCATTGCTGTGGTATCAAGATTGAGCAATGTTCCCCCGTAGCTCCCTAACGACCCTGAGAGATGTATTTTGACCTGGCAGACCAGGGCACTCAGAGAGACACAAGGTAATGTGTCCAGTGGGGTCCAATGACTAATGGACCTTAAGACTCTTGAGCAATGATTCCTCGTAGCTCCCTAACGACTCTGAGATGTATTTTGACCTGGCAGACCAGAGCATCCAGAGGGACACAAGGTAATATGTCCAGTGGGTTCCAATGACTGACTAATGGACCTCAAGACTCTTGAGAAATAATCCCCCATAGCACCCCAACGACCCTGAGAGATGTATTTTGACGTGGCAGACCAGAGCATCCAGAAGGACATAAGGTAATATGTCCAGTGGGGTCCAATGACTAATGGACCTTAAGACGCTTGAGAAATGATTCCCCGTAGCCCCCTAACGACTCTGAGAGATGTATTTTGACAAGTGTACAGTGGGGTCCAATGACTAATGGACCTTAGGACTCTTGAGAAATAATCTCCATAGCCCCCCAACGACCCTTTGAGATATATTTTGACCTGGCAGACAAGAGCATCCAGAGGAACACGAAGTAATATGTCCAGTGGGGTCCAATGACTAATGGACCTTAAGACTCTTGAGCAATGATTCCCCGTAGCCCCCTAACGACTCTGAGAGATGTATTTTGACCTGGCAGACCAGAGCATCCAGAGGGACACAAGGTAATATGTCCAGTGGGTCCAATGAC